AAATATCATTGAAAACTGTAATTTTCAAAATTTATGGTTCAAAGAATAGTGTCTAATTAAAAATAGAAAGGTATGATTTCTTAATATTTAATATTTTTATAAGGCCTTTTTACAACTCACCTATCAATGTTTGATTTTTTTAATGTACAAGAAACTCATTTCAAAAAACAATGCATTTTTATTAGCAAGATGTATTGGACAATAACCCCAACTAGAATCATAATTATAGCATTTTGCATTGCAACTGTCTCTTTAAGATCTGATTTTAGATAGTCTGCAGGAAGATCTCACAGGGCTATAAGACAAGAAAGAGACAGCTTCAAACTGAGCAAGTAAGTGCAAGGTAGTACCTTTAGAGGAAGATTATCTAAAATTTTGCAATAAAGTTCTTTTTTATGGTACAATTTGCCAATCCAGAACTTACTACTTTGAGGATTTAAAAAAATTAAAGATCTATGTTGAGAAAAAACTCGTGTTTATATTTCCTACCAGTCACTTCTTTGTGGAGGTGGAATGGTCCTCAGCAAGGCAAAAAACTAACTTTTTAAACCAGACACCTCTTTGGTTTATGTGCCTGATGCCTAAACTCTTGTATACATACTCCTGGAGTACGTATAGAGCTTTTCAGGAGGTAAACAGGTATCATTATTGAAGTAGTTCCCTAGGGCCATTATAAGTGTGTCACAACAGACATTGATGGTCTCAGTTCTGGAGGCCAGAAATCTGAAATCAAGGTGTTGGCAGGGCCATCCTCTCTCTCAGACTCTGGGTGGAATATATCCTCCCCTCTTTTGACCTGCTGCTGGTGGGCCACAATCCTTGGCATCCCTGCCTTTTAGCTGCATCAGTCTGGTCTCTGCCTCTGTCCTCACATAGCATTCTGTCTTCAAGTCATCTTCTCCCTGCTATATATGCATGTGATTTCCCCTATTCATAAGGACAACAGTCTTATTGGAATAGGGCCCACCCTAATGATCTCATTTTAACTTGGTTAAACCTGCAAAGACCTTACTTCCAAATATGGTTATACTCTGAGGTATTGAAGATTAGCATTTAAACGTATCTTTTGGAGGGAACATAATACAGCCCATAACAGGTGTCTTTAAAGGAACTGATTTCCAGATCCTCAGATATTATGTTTACTTATCCTAAAATTGATGTAAATTTTCTGAATTTTGCTTTTTTTATTTTTTAAAAATTTTTATAAGATTTCATTTATTTATTTGTCAGAGACAGAGAGAGCATAAGCAGAGAGAACAGCAGGCAGAGGGAGAAGCAAGCTCCCCACTGAGCAAGGAGCTGGATGTGATCTCAGGACCCTGGGATCATGACCCGAGCCTAATGAAAGCAGACACTTTGGCAGACGCTTAACCGACTGAGCCACCCAGGCGTCCCCCACTCCCCACTTTTTTTTTTTTTTAAAACGTTTATTTATTTATTTGTCAGAGAGAGAGAGAGAAAACAAGAGAGTGAGCACAAGCTGGGAGAAAAGCAGGCAGAGGCAGAAGCAGATGCCCTGCTGGGTAAGGAGCCCACAGTGGGACTCCATCCTAGGACCCTGGGATCATGACCGAACCAAAGGCAGATGCTTAACTGACTGAGCCATCCAGGCGTCCCTGAATTTTACTTTTTTTTTTTTTTTTTTTTTTTTTTTTAATTAGGGAGGGAGCTAATGGGACAGGAGGGGTCAGAGGTAGAGGGAGTAAAGCTGACTCCCCAGTGAGCACAGAGCCCAATGCAGAGCTTGATCTCAAGATCCTAAAATCATGACCTGAGCCAAAATCAAAAGTGCTTAACTGACCGAGCCACCTAGGTGCCCCCAAATTTCTCCGTTTTCAAGAGGAGCTCTTTCATATCTATTCTCTGTTGGATAATGGTGGCTATTGAGTTGCTGTGGTGTTTAGATTCCATTGTAAAGCATGCTATAACATTTAAATTTAATAGCAATATTTATAATATGCTGGAAATTATATTTTTTCCAACCATTTAAATCCACGATGAAAAACTTTAGGTATCAACTTCAGTGTGTAAGGGAGTTCAGAGTTGTAAAAGATTACTTTAGGGAGTGTGCGAGCAAAACTTTTTGAAGACCGCTGGTCTAGAGTGAGGTTTCTCGACTTTGGGATGATTGATGTTTGGACTAAGTAATTCTTAGTTGTGAGGAGGCTGTTGTATACATGGTAGGGTATTTAGGAGCGTTCCTGGCCTCTACCCTAGGTGGCAGTAGCAACTCCCCAGTAGTAACAACCAAAAATGTCTCCAAATACTGCCAAATGTCCACTGTGGGGCAAAATTGTCCTTGGCCATTGGAATGGAGCATATTGATCTTCTTTCAGTCAAATACAAGGAATATGAGCATTTCAGATATTGGCTAATCTCGATTTTGAGTTATATACTATATAGTGCTAGACATGACCTAAGATGGCAGAATTTCAAGAGATATCACCTAATGGTTGTGATAATAATTTATTCACAAAAATCAGTACATTTTTTTCCCAGTATGAAGGCAGGTGTCCAAACAGCTACATATAAATTGTCTGTTAACTTTGCGCTATCTCGGTAGACTGTAAATTCTTGCTTACTTCTGGAGTCAAGAAATGATTGTGGAAAACCTCTGTGTTTTGCAAACATTCTTATTGAGGATTTTCTCGTGTTTCCCTTGGGTCATGAACCAAACCAAGTTCCCAAAGTAGCTCAGAGGTGAATTGGAATGCTGTCTTTCAATTATACCACAAAAGTTCTGTAAAGCTTTCTGTCTTAGTAGGAAGTTCTGGTCTAGGTTTGTGGCTCAATTACAATGTCTTCTTACTTGTTTCCTAGTACAGTTGACCCTAATGACCCTGGGGCAATAGAAGGTCTGTGTGTAACTTGTGTTTTCCCTAAAACTTAACTGCTGATAGCCTTGTTGGCCAGAAGCTTTATCGAAGACAGTCGATGAGTATACATTTTGTATGTTGTATGTATTATATACTGTATTCTTACATAAAGTAAGCTAGAGCAAAGAATGTTATTAAGAAAATTATAAGGAAAATATAGTTACAGTACTATGTTGTATTCGTTGAGGAAAATCCACATGTAAGTATACATATGCAGTTCAAACCAGTGCTGTTCAAGAGTCAACTATATTATTTCCTCACTTTTTGTCCACCCTTCATTTTATTACTTTTTTGCTTGTTTAAGTGGTTCTCAGTTATACTGAATCTGTGTCTTTTAGTGTAAGCACCTGGTTTTGGACATGTAAGTATATTAAATAAATTAAGTTTATAGGTAACGTAGTTTGAACTTTTTTAACCCAACAAAAGTATGTAAAGTAATTTTACATTTTTTTCAAACATTGTTTTCTCTGTGTACTACCCTGGCCTATAAAAGGACAATGATTGGGGCACCTGGGTGGCTCAGTGGATTAAGCCGCTGCCTTCGGCTCGGGTCGTGATCTCAGGGTCCTGGGATCAAGTCCCGCATCGGGCTCTCTGCTCAGCAGGGTGCCTGCTTCCCTCTCTCTTTCTGCCTGCCTCTCCGTCTACTTGTGATCTCTCTCTGTCAAATAAATAAATAGAATCTTTAAAAAAAAAAAAAAGGACAATGATTTGTTGGAAATCATAAGATAATTACAAAGAAGACAGAAAATGAATGCCATTTTCCTTTCATGATAAAACTCTAGGGCTTCTGTGGTTTTTTAAGACTATGATACAAGGTTGTGTTTTCATTTTCTCAAATTAAAAAAAAAATCCTGTAATTATTGATACTAAACATAGAGATAAGCAGTCTGAAACTAGCCTAAAAGCATTAGTACCTTTTAGTCAGAAATAGTGAAGGAGGAAAAGGCAATCACATTTACTGAATAACTGCTGTATGCTGTGCCTTGTACTAGGTACTTTGTATCATATTTAATCTCCACAATGGTACTAGGAAGTAGAAGATCTTAGTGCTGTTTTTATCTACAAGGAATCCAAGGTCCTGAAAGAGGCAATGCACATACGTCATTCTCATTCCAAAGTTCTTGCTCTTTATACAGTGAAGCTATAAAGGCTTCAGGATAGCTCCTGCCTAGCACACAGTAAGCTCTGTATTCCTCTTATTATGTCATCTGGAGTAGGAGTAAAGATCGAAAATGCTAAATGCTAAAATGGTATGCTACATCAATTCCGATAGGGAATAGAGAAATAAATACATTTAGAATAAGTAATCTGGGTGTGTGTGTGGGGGGGGTGCGCCTTGCTGGCTCAGTCAGTAGAGCATGTGACTCTTAATCTTGGGGTGGTGTATTCAAGCCCCATGTTGGGCATAGAGATTACTTAATAAACAAAATGAACAAACAATTTTTTAAAGAAGATTTTATCTATTTATTTAACAGAGAGAGACAAAGTGAGAGAGGGAACACAGGCAGGGGGAGGGGGAGGAGTAGGCTTCCTGCTGAGCAGGGTGTCTGATGCGGGGCTTGATTCCAGAACCCTGGGATCATGACCTGAGCAGAAGGCAGACGCTTGATGACTGAGCCACCCAGGCACCCCAAAAAACAAATAATTAAAGAAAATATTTAGGGTAGATGAAAAGAATCTTAGTTTATAGTAACTGTCTTCTGCAAGAATTAATATAAACTGAAAATACAAAATCAGGGATCATGTTAAATTTAATAAATTACCCTATGAGTTAGCAACAAAAATTGAGAAGTTGTCTTTACCCTAGAGATGAAGTAAAGGGCAGTAATACTGGGCAGTTCTTCCCTTGTCACCATAGTCAGAGGCGGGAGATTGAACTAGAAGGGTCATGCATCAAACCCAATGTGACAATTCTTACATTTTTGTGTTGAGACCACTATATCGTATTATCCTTTATTTAGATATTCTTATCTAAAGTCTCATGTCAGATGTTATATTGGGAGGTGGTGTGTTAAAATTTTGTATTTTATTCTGCTTTCTGCTAGTCTTAAACATGATTACATACCTTTTCTGTGGAAAAAAACAGTAGTTTCTTGCCCCCCCCCCCAACCCCGTCTTTAGTTCCTTGTTTTCCAGCACCCAACATAACTTGTAAGGATTTTGGTGGCAATGAAACACATTTTACTGGAAATGAAGTTGGTTTTCTGAAGCCTGTATCTTGCCGAAATGTGTAAGTCCATTACTGAAGCTAAATTTTAAGGTTACTTGCCTATGTTGTATCTTGACTGCATGGAGTAAAGAGATAAAAAGTTAATTTATAGGGAAAATCCTGCACTGATATAATTTATCTTTTTTGCCTTTCTTAGAAGACCTCTATTTTAAGTGTGCATATTGTTAATATAATTGCAGTTTACCACCAAGTAAAGCATAGTAGTTCACTCTGTGGGATAAATAAAGACTGTGAGTAGCCTTATGCCATGTTAATTCAGTCAGTTTATGCCATTAAATGAGTTATGAAAACTTCTGTTTAAAAATTTGGGGGATTTCTACAGTGCAAAAAAGGGATCATGTACTTCTAGTATTAAAAGAATGTTGAGGGGGCACCTGGGTGGCTCAGTGGGTTAAAGCCTCTGCCTTTGGCTCAGGTCATGATCTCAGCGTCCTGGGATCGAGCTCCGTATCGGGCTTTCTGCTCAGTGGGGAGCCTGCTTCCTCTTCTCTCTCTGCCTGCCTCTCTACCTACTTGTGATCTCTCTCTCTGTCAAATTAATAAATAAAATCTTAAAAAAAAAAAAAAAGAATGTTGGGGTAGCTATGTGGCTCAATTGGTTAAGCCTCTGACTCCTGGTTTTGGCTCAGGTTATGATCTTAGGGTGGTGAGGTCCATCTCTGTGCTCAGTGCAGAGTCTGCTTGAGATTCTCTGTCTCCCTCTCTCTCTCTCTCAAATAAATAAATCTTTAAAAAAATAAAAGAATGTTAATTATTAATCATTTGCATATTAAGGGCATTTTGAAATTTGGTTTCATTCTTTGTAATAGATATGGATGATGAATGGTTAAACAGAATTCAAAAATTTCTTTGGGACATTAAGACAAGTGGCTTTATTTTGTTAAGAGTGTTCTTTGTTTAAAGGACTTTTAAGTTTGAGTTTTATTTTTGCTGTAGTAAAGCTAACATCTTATTCTTATTATTTCTGCCTTGTATTAAAAACATGATTTAGTTTTATGCATTCTTATTAATTGGTGGCACTATACTTTTATCTTTTAACTGACATTGTTACATTTTATTTGATTGCACCTGTTTGCAGTTGTATTAAGAAATAACCACTATTAGGCCTTCCTTACTATTTGGCTATTTCTTCCAGTTCTATTAGAATTCCTAGAAATTACTAGTGGAGTCTTATTTTTCTTTTGACCCTCCTTCACTGAGTTAATGAGGAGCTTTAGATTTTATCTTGCTGTGTAATCCTAACCCAATCACTTAAGCTTTTTGGGTTCCAAGATTTCTCATTAGTAAAGTAAAAATTGCTAAAAGGAGTTACCTCCCTATTACTTATATATGGTTTAGCCAAGTTTTGAATTTATCAATTCATATTTTTTTTTAAGATTTTATTTATTTATTTGTCAGAGAGAGAGAGAGAGAGACTTTGCACAAGCAGGCAGAGCAGCAGGCTGAGGGAGAAGCAGGCTCCCCACTGAGCCAGGAACCCAATGTGGGACTCCATCTCAGGACCCTGGGATCATGACCTGAGCCGAAGGCAGATGCTTAATTGACCGAGCCACTTAGGCATCCCTGGATTACTATTTCTATCATAAAAATTCCAAATGATAACCAATTTATTAAGTGCTGATCTAGGACATCATAGGTTACAATACAACAACTTAGAAAATCAATCATCTGTTGAGAATAGCTAACCACTCAGGTTGGACTTACAGGTTTATATTACGTGTAATGGTAACACCATAATGGTCTGTTACTCAATTTCTAAGTTAATTCTGATTTTTCTTTTAGTGTCTCTGGGTAGATTAGGCTCAGTGCGACTGAGCTATACTAATCATGCTCACAAGACACTGATGTCAGTTACGAGAAGAAACATAATTATCAGGGAAACCTGATACTTGCAAGTATACTGGCCAATTTATACCCCTCCTATAGTAAAACGTACAGTTCCAAAATAGAATTTGCTTAATGACCATTGAATCAGAACAAGGGGAGCTAAATTAGTGGGTAATTTTAATGATGAGTCACAAAATTAAGATCACCCCATAAATCATTTTCTTATATCAGAATATTCAGTACATGCCTACCAAAGAGCCAGCTGCTGGTCGGCTACTGAATAGTCACTGACAAATTCTTATTCACTGAATGTTCCTTTCCCAGGTCACATATTTTCCTTCTCCTATTAGCATATTCTTTTTCAAACTGTATATAATATTGATACTTGATGAAAACTCCCGTCTTAATATTGCAGGTACAGTCATTCTATAATGTATTCTCCAGTAACTGAAGTCTGGTAACCATGTCTGATTGATCACCAAGCCACACACCTATTTATACTGGCCAACTGTTTTAGTTGGAGCAGACTAACTGCTGTAACAGATGTCTTTAGAATGTCAGTGGCTTAACACAGTAAAAGTTATTTCCTCCTCACATCATAGTCCGGTTGGTGTTGGCGTGGAGGTCTGGGTGAGGTAAGGGGAGTGATTGTTGCTTCATGCAGTCATGCAGGAGCCTTGCTCCTTTCATCCTGTGGCTTTGCTTCCTCTCATCCTCAGAGTCCTTTCCATTCAGCCAGCAGATGGGAAAGAGGAAAAGGAACCCCGGGTAGGTGTGTTTTATGGACCAGATCTAGAAATGGCATGCATCGCTTCTGTCCTTATTACGTTGGGCAAAACTCAGTTATGGCTACACATAACTGCAAGATGGGCTAGAGTATGTAACTTCACAGTACATCTGTGAGAAAAAGAGCAGTGGTTCAGTGAGCAATTAGACAGTCTCTGCTACGCCACCCGTTTTCAGGTTATTCTTTAGGGTGATCTAATATATAGATAATTGTGTTTCTAATTTCATTCCCCTTTCCAGCCACGCTTTTTGAAAGGCTTGTTCCTATAATACTTACCTTTTATGAATTTTTCTGTCTGATAGAGTCCAGCTTTTGGCTATGCTGAAATTTACTAGCAATCTTTGTTCTCTGTCAAATGGAACTTTATAGTCCACATCTTAATTTTTCTTCTACAGCATTTGGCATTTCCTTCTCTTAAAATTCTTTCCTTGACTTCAAGTATAAAACACTCTTCTATTTTTTTTTTTGATTCCTCTTTTGTTTTTTCCTTAAATCTTGATATCCCCAAGATTATATTCTTGCCCTATTCCCTTTTTTATTCATTCACTCCTTAAGCTTTTCTCACCATCTTAATGTATATTAAGGTCCCAAAGTCAGTCTTTCATCTCCTTTAAACCATCTCCTCCTTTGTCTTAATGAATGGCACCTGTCCTTATCTGTTTCTTTCTTTCTTTCTTTCTTTTTTTTTTTAAAGATTTTATTTATTTATTTATTTGACAGACAGAGATCACAAGTAGGTAGAGAGGCAGGCAGAGAGAGAGGAGGAAGCAGGCTCCCCGCTGAGCAGAGAGCCTGATGCAGGGCTCGATCCCAGGACCCTGGGATCATGACCCGAGCTGAAGGCAGAGGATTTAACCCACTGAGCCAACCAGGCACCCCTGTCCTAGTCAATTTCTTAAGCTGAAACTTTGGAGCCTTCTCGACTTCTTTTCCCTCATCCCCCACATTTAATGTGGTTACCTCTGCCTTCTTAGTATTTCCCAATTTTGTTTACATTTCTCTCCTACTGCTACTGCCCAGTAGGTTATAGCTTGAGTTTCTACAAAGCCTACTAATTTATTTCTCTATTTCTAGTCTGGTACCCCATTCCAGGGTAGATGGGACACCACTGCCCTCAGCATAAAATGACATCCTTTCAGTATTAGATGCATAAACAGGATCTCTGGTCCATCTGCCGTCTCCCACCAAGCCCCCCAAATGTCCTAATTGTGAGTGAAATGCAAAAAAACAGGATTGTAAGACCAACATAATCAGATTTGATTTTAAAGTGGTAACTCCAGCTACCTCTCTGTTTCTTTACTTCCTTTTGCAGTAAAACTTCAGAGAGTTGTCTAATACTCCTGTTTTTCAGGTTTTTTTTTTTTTTTTTTCATTCTAGGCTTTCTTAAGCCTGCTTTGTTTGGTCATTTTCCTATACCACATCATCAAAATTGCCCTCGCTGAGGTCACTACTGAACTCTTTTTGATTAAATGTAGTGGAAAATTCTCAGCCATTACTTATGTGATCTGTCAGTCGCATTTGGCACAACTGATCACTCTGTTCTCCTTAATACACTGTACTGTCTTCCCTTGACTTCTAGTATACCACACTCTTCTAGTTATACTTCTTCCTCACTGTTAACTCTTGCTTAGTCTCCTTTCTAGTTTATTCTCTTCTTGATCTCTCAAGTATCAAAGTATCTCAAGGCTCAGTGAATTTCTCTCTCTCTCTCTTTTTTTTTTTTTTTTGGTCTATACTCACATAGAAATGTCATGGTTTAAAATACTTCCTATATGCTTGTAACTCCCTAATATATATCTCCAGCCCAGACTTCTCTCCCTAACTCTAGGCTTATAAATCCAGCTGTCTTTTGTTGAACAACTCCACTTGGATATCTGATAAATATCTCAAACTCACATGTCCAACAATGAAATCCTGAACATCTTTTCCAGGTCTAGTCTACCTTCAGCCTTCCCCAACTCGGTTAATGCTAGCTTCATCCCTTTAGTTACATGGGACAAAAATCTTAGCTTTATTCTCATTCCTTTTTTCATTCCCTAAATTGGATACATCAGGAAATCCAGTTGTTATACTTTGGAACATATCCGGAATCTGATCACTTCTCAGTGGTATTTTTTTTTTGCTAGGACTCCAGGTCAAGCCACTATTAATTTTCATCTGGATTACAGCAAGAGCCTTCAGACTCCTTTGTCCTTGTGGTAGCTCACATTTGTTCAACAAATTCATCCCTCTCAATCACTGTTAACGGGGTGGTGTGTACTTTCTACTCTGTTGGTTTGGGGCTTGGCCATGTGATTGGATTTGGCTTATGTAATGCTAGCAGATATGAAACAAGTAGGGGCTTAAATGTGCTTGCGAGGTTTATCTTTCCTCTTGAATCATGGTGATAAGTTCTGAAAAGAACTTGTCCTGGGTAAAAGCTACACCTGCAGCCTGGGCCCTAGGAAAACGTAAGAGGAACTGATTTTAAGGAAATAAGTAGCCTGGATCCAAACTGACCCAAACTTCAGCCTGAAGCAGCATTTCCTGGCTGAACCCACCCTAGATAAGCTGAACCACAGCTAATGGCAGTGTGAGGATGACTGCTTATTGTTTTAAGCCACTGAGGTTTAGAGTGGTTTGTTATACAATATTATTGCGACAGTAGCTCACACGTACTCCCCTACAGTCTGTTTTCAGTCTAGCAGCTAGTTACTTTAAAATCTGAATCAGATCATATCACACGTCTGTTTAAAATCCTACAGTAGTTTCCCATATCCTTTAGAGTACAAACCAGTCGTTACAGCGATGTTCAGGGCCATCCATGATTTGCCCCCTTTGCCCCTTGTCCTCTCTCTGACCTCAGCTCCTACTATTCTTCTATTCTCTAATTCCACTCCTGCTATACTGGCCTCCTTTATAGACCTCAGACATGTCAGTCAGGTATGCTCTGCTCCCCTCAGCAGGTACTTTTGCCTAGGATGCTCCTCCCTTAGAGGTGTGGCATGCTAACTAAGTCACCTCCCTCAGGTCTTTGCTTATCTATCGCCTTCTCAATGATGCCTACTCTTATTACCCTATTTATATCTTATATCCCCCTCGTCTGTACCCCTGACATTCTGAATCCCCTAAATGACCTGCTCCACTTCTTTTTTTAATAGTGTTTGTGACTTTTCTTTTGTGTGTGTGTGTGTATGTTTGAGATTTTATTTATTTGAGAAAGAGAGAGAGCACAAGGGGGGGTGTGGAGGGAGGGGCGAGGGGCATAGGGAGAGGGAGAAGCAAATGCCCTGCTAAGTATGGAGCCAGGGCAGGGCTCAATCCTAGGAACTTGATCCCAGGACTCTGAGATCATGACCTAAGCCGAAGGCAGCTGCTTAACTGACTGAGCCACCCAGGCACCCCCTTTAACGACTTTTTAACATAATATATGATTTACTTTTAAAATGTTTATTTTTATTGCTTGTTGCCTATTGATTGAAGGCTCTTTAGGGACAGGGATCCTTATTTCTTCTTTTCATATATATATATCCCAAAAACCTAGAATAGTGCCTGGCATGAAAATTAATGAATGGATCAGTGAACAAATGAATAAATAAGTGATAATTAACAGTTTTGTTTCCTAAAATGTTTGCATGTTGGAAATACATATATGTAACACTCAGGTTCTAATTTTGTACAGAAATGGCTATTCATACAAGGTGGCAGTTGCGCTGTCTCTTTTCCTTGGATGGTTGGGAGCAGATCGATTTTACCTTGGATACCCTGCCTTGGGTGAGTATGTTTCATCAAGAAAAAATCCTTGTGAAACTTGTATTTCAGGTAAATATACCTGTTCTTTCCATTTTATTATTTTTTTTAAGATTTTATTTATTTATTAAGGAGAGAGGGAGAGAGCACAAGCAGGGGGAGGACCAGAGTGAGAGGGAAAAGCAGACTCCGTGCCGAGCAGAGAGCCTGACATGGGGCTCACCAGGACCCTGACATCATGACCTAAGCCAAAATCAAGAGTTGGATGCCCAACTGATTGAACCACCCAGGCACCCTTAAATATACTGATTCTTATAGATTAAATCTTTGCATACTATTAATAGTTACAAGTTCGACATTAACTGGAGGTGAATAGTTAATCTTCTGTGAATATAGAGCTAGCTGTTAGTTCTACAGTTCAGCTTGGATAATAAATATTGACTTTTCCTGTATTTTCATCTTTATGAAAATACGTACAAACTAGTATAGGCCCTTCCTTGAGGATAGTAGGCTTGAGTTGTCATTGTTAGTACTGGGCAACATGGTGGACATTTAATAAATATTTTATGAATAAATGTACATCTCTTCTTTCTAAAAATATTTGCCCTTCTATCTGAACCCCTGCCATATTCCCTTGGGAAGAGAAGCTTTCTTTCAGGAGAAGCGTGGGTTGGAACTATGGCGACCCACAAGAGCTGGTGTGGAGCCTGACTTTTTTTAGCCTTAGCTTCCTCCCCTCCGCCGCGCCCCCCTCCGCTGACCTGTCACACACATTCCTTCTAGTGTAATCTTCCCATTTACCATAGTTACTAATGCTTGTGAATTTTTACATTTGATGATTTTTACATTTGATTTGGATTTGATGATAGCTTTTGTTTAAACAATACTTTTATATGCCTGCCCTTAGTTAAGCCTTACAGCTCTCTGACTTTATCATCCACTTTAAATCTTTTTTACCAGCTAGGGAAATTGTCACCAGAGAGGTTAAGGGATTTACTCACTCCAGAGGCCTTGTTTTATTCTGTGACATATTTGTTGTTATCATCTTTGTTTTATGGATGGGGAAATTGTCATGAGATTAAGAGATTTACCCAAGGACACTCTGCTAGTGACCTGAATTTGAACCCAAATTTTCTGGCTCAGGAGATCATGCTTTATTTACTACAGTACTCTGCTCCTACATTAGCCCTTTACTGAGCAAAATTTCAAGTTTCTGATGCTTTTTTTCCAGTTAGTAAGGCTAATCTTAATTCTTTCCATGTTGCTACCCACCAGAGATCAAAGAAGAATCTTTATTGTGGTATTAGTAGGAAGTATGTTTCTGACAGCCTTACCTGGAACTCACAAATTTGTTCAGTTAATAGACATTTATTCTACATTTACTACCTGTTAAGTAAGTGCGTGCTATGGGAATAATGATGAAGATCATATTTCATATTGGTTAAAAAGGAAATAAATAGGTTGGTGGGTCCATTTATGATACAGCTCTTATAGAACCATGACAAAGTGCTATGAGAGCAGAGAAGAGGGACTGATTTAGTCAGCCTTGGGGTGTGAAAGAGGACTTCTTTGATGAGGTGACATTTGGACTAGGTATTGAAGGATGAGCAGATTATAGAGATTGAGGGCATTACACAGAACAGTATGTGCAAAGGCACTGGGTGTGAGAGTATGTGTGCCTGCTGAGAGAATGGTAGATAGTTTAGCTTTTGGCATAGGAAGAATAATGGCAAGAGATGAAAAGTGACTGCAGAGGTAGTCTGTGGTCAGATTATAAAGGGCTTTGAGTGTCTTTTTATGGAGTTTGGACTTTACCATTTAAACATCAGAAGCCATTAACATTTTTAAGCAGAGAAGAGTCATAGACTCATTTTTCAGGAAGATTCTACTGGAGGAATTGAGGGAAATAGCTTAGAACAGAGACGTACTGGTGACAGAGAAAGGAGGAAGGAGATTGATGCCATAGTCCTGGCCTGAGTGACAGTCCAACTCATTTTCCTGCCATGTGTTAGAGTAGCTGTACCTTTCCCTATGGCGGAAAGCCATGTGATCTGCACAGAAGGCCTCAGAGTTGGTAAAATGGCAGTCCTTCAGTCTAACTCTCTTTTTAGATGATGGCTGGCTGGCTGGTTAGACAGAGAAATCAGATTCATAATGAGAAAGTAAAATAATATGGTGATGGTGAGAATATACCTGAAGCCTTTTGCCTTTATTCTTATATTTTCTTCTGTGTTCTCTTTATGAAGACAGACATGTGTGTGTGTGTGTGTGTGTGTGTGTGTGTGTGTGTGTGTGTATGTATGTGTGTGTGTGTGTATATATATATACATATATATATATGTATATATGAAAGATTTCTAACTTTTAGAAAGTTTTGAAGAGGTTAGGAAGGAAGGGGAAACACTGTTCTTTAGAACAGTTTATTCTGTGATGATTTTAAATAATAAATCTATTTTATATATTTGGCTTAATGAGTGAGTTTTTGGTTTCCTGGGATGTGTGTCAGATGAGCTGTCACGTCGTATATGTAAGATAATGTGTTTGTCTTACTGCAGCACATCATAATATGTCGGCATGTATATTGTGAATTTTTCTTCCTGCAAAGTAAAACTCTCAGTAATAAAGTTCTGTATAAAGCTCTGTGTAGTGGATCTGGTTAGTGAATGTTAGTTTCCTGCCAGGAGCGGTTTTTCTCTGGCCACTGCTATTCCAATCTATTATGAGCCTCAGTCAAAGAGAACCTTTCCATGGGAGGCTGAGTGAGATTCCATAAACTTGCAAGTGCAGTTTTTAACATTCAACATTATGGTACAGCATAAAGGATTTTTGTTTGTTTTTTTTTAATCATTAAATAATTTCCTGTATTTAAAAAAAAAAGATTTAAATAACTTACTGCATTTTTTTTAAAGATTTTATTTGTTTGTCAGAGAGAGAGAGAGAGCACAAGCAGGGGGAGTGGGAGAGGGAGAAGCAGACTTTCTGCTGAGCGGGGAGCCCAAAGCGGGACTTGATCCCAGGACCCTGGAATCATGACCTGAGCTGAAGGCAGATGCTTAATGATGAGTCACCCAGGCATCCCAATAACTTACTGTATTATCATAACCACCTTTGGGTATTCATTAGTTCAACACATATTTTGACTGCTGGCCTAAGATAAAACTTTCTCAAGATCATTAAGTCTGTCACTTCTCATTTGTCTGCTTTCCGGCTTCTGAATTTTTGTTGCTACTGTCTTATCTTTTATTCTCTTTGTTCTTTTGGGTTTGTGGGCCTTAAAAATTCCTTACCATCTTTTAGTGGGGTCTTGGAGTGAGAGTAGCTAAGTAGGCATGTCAAAGTCATTATCTTTAACTAAAAATCCTCATTTCTTTTAAGCATTCAAATATTTTGATTGTATCTTACTTGCATTTAAGTAGTAATGTTAAGAATTTTGATATATCTTATTAACTAATCTAATATATAAAGTTACAATTTTTTTTAAAGTTATGATTTTTAAAAATTTTAAAATATTAAATGTTTTTAAATGAAATTTTAATTTTTAGTAAGAATTCAAGGTTAAAGATTTTGGTATTTTTTGATTAAAGTGATTACTATCATTGTAGTACTAACCTTACTATAATGTTGACTGGCATGAAAATAGTTACAGATGGACCCTAACATTCTATATTTTTAAAAAAATATTTTATTTATTTGAGAGGAAGCAAGAGAGAGCATGAGCAGAGTGGGGAGGCAGAGGGAGAAGCAGACTCCCTGCTGAGCAGGGAGCCCATTGTGGAGCTCGATCCCAGGACCCTGGGCTTATGACCCCAGTTGAAGGTAAATGCTTGACTGGCGGAGCTACCCAGACACTCCTATTTTTCTTATAATCTTATTTAATCTTCATGGTTATGAAAAGCAATGGTGGCTTGTTAAAATACTTCCTTAAGAGGCGCCTGGGTAGCGTCTGCCTTTGGCTCAGGTCATGGTCCTAGGGTCCTGGGATCGAGCCCCACATCGGGCTCCCTCCTAAGTGGGAAGCCTGCTTCTCTCTTTCCCACTCCTCCTGCTTGTGTTCCCTCTCTCTCTGTGTCTCTGTCAAATAAGTAAATAAAATCTTTAAAAAAAGATACCTCCTTAAAACTATTTATGATCATTGGAATTTTATAAGAACAGAATAAATAATATCAGTCATGCAATATGAAACTTGCTTTTTCTAAGTAGTTCAGTGTTGAATGTGATATTTCATTATATAAATTTTACTTCAGGATTAAATAAAGGAAATGTGTTGGGGGTGAGAATGAATAAAACTTGATAAGATCTAAAAATTCCTTTAAGAAAGTTTTTTTTTTAATTTTTAAAACATTTAAAAAAATTTTTATTTTATTTTATTTTATTTTATTTTATTTATCTATTTGACAGAGATCACAAGTAGGCAGAAAGGTAGGCAGAGAGAGAGGAGGAAGCAGGCTCCCTGCCAAGCAGAGAGCCCAATGCGGGGCTTGATCCCAGGACCCTGGAATCAGGACCTGAGCCGAAGGCAGAGGCTTTAACCCACTGAGCCACCCAGGCGCCCCAAAACATTTAAAAATTTTTAATTAGGGGTTTGAACGCATGACCCTGAGATGAAGACCTAAGCTGGAATCAAGAGTCGGATGCTTAACCAAGTGAACTGCCCAGGCTCCCCCAGAATTTTCTTTTCAGTTATTTCAAATTTCTTTTTAGCCCCTGACTGTAACTTTATATATAACTTTATTTCCTTTAATTGATTTATTCCTCAGTATGCAAGTGCTACATGAACTAGAAACTTTTTTACAATGAAACCTTATTTTTCTAATAGTATTCTCTCTTTGTATTCTTAACTGTGTTAACATCTGTGATTTTTTTTTATATGCAATAGTTAGCATATTTTGCTTTGTCCATCTGTAGCATTAAAAGATTATGGATTCCCAAAGCTAATAGCTCTTTTGGATCAGGAGAGAGATACTCTTTTCATGGTGGTATTCCTTTTAAAATGTAAATACTTTCTTATTATGAGAATAACAAAG